ACACACACACACACACACACACACACACACACACACACACACACACACACACACACACACACACACACACACACACACACACACACACACACACACACACAAATACAAATACTCACTGTTTGTTCACATGATGAAATGTGTCCTGCACTCCTTTGGTTTGACTAGCCATCAGTATGAACCAGGGGCCTCAAACTCATTTTAGTTCAGTGTCCGCATACAGCAAGCTTTGATCTCAAGTGGACCAGACCAGTGAAATCAATGCATGATAACCTCTACATAACAACAACTCTACATTTTTTCCTTCATTTTAGTGCAAAAAAGTAGATTCTCAAAATGTTTATCATTAAATTACACACGTGCATTACAGATCATGGTGTATCTACAAAGGCATAAAACATTTAGAAAGTATCTGGAACTGAACAATTTAGTATTTTACTTTACGTATTTAACTTCTCGTCAAGATCTAGAAATTATTTTACATTAATTTCCACTTCTGTGTAGTAATCCTGACCACCTGAACTGACACACCACCATACAGACTAAAGTGGGAACTGTTAAGGAAGAAGGTGTACTTATCCCCCTGCCTTTTAAATGTATAACATATTTATACATGAAAAATACATCAACGTTTTTGACATTGCAGTTCATGTCTTGTAATGTATACACTTTGAGGATACACCCTTGGTATAAACCCTGTCGTTGTGTTGCAGGTAAGGAGGAGTTCCTCTCGTACTCCCAGTGGAACCAGCAACTGCAGCAGACCTTCGAGGCAGGGTTCTGGGTGTCCGGGGACCCAGGTGACCCCAATGAGAAGCATGCTGACCTGGTGCACAAGAAAGGCATCTATAAGGACAGCTACGGGGCCTCCAACGCCTGGTGTGACTACCAGCTGAGACCCAACTTCACTATAGCCATGGTGGTGGTGAGTAGAACATCTGGTATAGGCTCACGGTGTGCTGAGCTGTGATTGGTTGCTGACAGGCTCTCTGTGTTTGAAGGCCCCCGAGCTGTTCACAGTGGAGAAGGCCTGGTTGGCCCTTGAGATGGTTGAGAAGAAACTGCTGGGCCCGCTGGGAATGAAGACGCTGGACCCCGAGTATATATATCTTCATTAGGGTGTTTGGCAGATGTACTGTCACTCCACCTGTTTTTAAATGTATTCATGTACATGTGCTACAAAGAAGAGTGATGGCAGTAGGAGGATTCCTTATACATTCAGTCTCATACTGATAATAGTATTTCTGTTTTCATAGTGACATGGTGTACTGCGGTGTCTATGACAACTCTCTGGACAACGACAACTACAACCTGGCTAAAGGCTTCAACTACCACCAAGGCCCAGTGAGTGAGACGCACTCATTACAAACAGCTCCAAATCCACTACAATCTTACAGAATGCAGATATGTGAAACCCTGAGAGGCTATCTGAAGCTTCATCATAACCACCCAGACACTGAGCAGATAGTCATCTGAATACATTTCATTACAAAATAAAAGTAATCTAATCTGATTACTTTCCGTTACTTTTGGACTACCTCATTATCAAGTATAATCTAAATAAATACAAGAGAAAATAAAAATCAATAAGAAGTGCACTGAAAAAACTGTAACGATGACTTTAGTTAAATGTATCATGTCAACAGAATTCATATAACAATTAAGTTTAAATACAAATATTAGGTTCAACCAAATATTATTGCTTTCAACTAACCTAATACAGTTATGTGACATTTGTTGACATAATACATTTAATTAAAGTCAAAGTTTTTTCGGTGTGTATTCTGACAACAGAACAATGTAGCCTTAGAAAAGAAGAAACCAAGATATTCAGTATCAAAAATGTCTCATCTGAAGTGAAAGGCCAACCGAAAAGTAAAGTTAGAAAAGTAAAGTTTACACATTTTAGTTAAAAGCATTAGTTTACACAATTAAAAGCAAACACAGTGTTTTGTTTAATAAATCAGGTGTCCTCCTACTTAATTTAAAGTGCACCTATCATGCTATTTTTAGGCAATAGCATAGGTCTCATATATATAAAAATATATAAAAAACATGTCTATGAAGTGTTTTGCTCAAAATACCAAACAGATCACCCATTTTAGCCATGCCTCATATCCCTCTATTTCACTTCCTGTTTCAAAAGTGCTGATTTTATGTATAAAGCTTAAAAAAAATAGAATTTGATAAAAAGGGAGGGGGCTGAGCTCATGTGGTAGATTCTACCGGCAGATACTGCCGTGATGAAACGCTATATCATGGATTATCAAGGATTATCTCTGAAACAGTATGGAGCTCAAAGGCTTTCTCTCTTGCCGGTTATACCACA